CCCCTTCTCCCCCTCCCCCTTCCGCCTCCCCCTCCCCGTTGCAGGCTGTACTTTGCATAGCTCTACTCTACATCGTCAAGGATGGGGAGAGGTGCAGATCAATCGCGATTTTCTGCACCTGTCCAGAAACACGTCCAGATTCAGGCCTTGATCTTGATCTTTAATTCTCAATGGTTGTTCTTCACCCAGTAAACCCTCATCTGGACCATAATTGCAATCAGACTCGACTCTGGACCTTGTTCACAACATGCACACTTGAGAACCGATGGTAAAACTGACTGAACTCCTTCAACTCAGAAACAACAACGAACTTGTATTAAACTCAGTCTGAACAACTGTATAACTTGCGGCTATGGCCGCCGAGCACTGTCTCTACCACCAGCCTCAGTCTCCCTCTACCACCAGCCTCAGTCTCCCTCACTCTCGCTTGCACGCACGTACGAGGATCACCCTGAATGTCCACACTGCACAGCCACTCACACTCTGTACACTCTGTCTACACCAACAGCTGGGCAGTTATGGCCTCCGTCGTCTTCCTCCTCCGAGCTATGGCCGTGGGTGTCTCCCTTGCTGGCTCACTATGGCCGCTGTATTCTTCACAGCCCACTTCTTCTCCGGGCACCTGCAGTCCACGCACAAGATACCAAGGCAGCTCTTCCGCATGGCACACAGGCGAATGAATGCATGGCTGAACGCTGCCTCTTTATTTATACCTCTTCGGAGGTACCCGGGCCTGCCTCAAAACGTGTGGGCCTGGGCCAAAACGAGTGGCCCAGGGAAGCTTCCAGACGTTTGGCCTTCTGGGCCAAAACGTGTGGAACCCACCACGTAGTCCAGAACCTTCCCCACGTGCAGCCCCTACCCTTGGTACTCGCTGGCTGGACTGTCCTACGACCTTCTAGACTATACAGACCTACCGACAGATTCCAGTCCTCAACAGACTTCGTAGAGACTTCTAGAACAGACTTCCTCTCTAGAACAGACTTCCTAAGCCTATCGGTAACAGACCTAGCTGCTAATCTACAGACCTACCTTCTTCCCCCGAAAACAACGTGCAGTCATTATAGCTGCATTGGGGGGTATCTTTCAGTCTACATACAGCTATAATGACCGTATGTTGTATTCGGGGGAAGAAGGTAGAGATCAAGTCCTACTGCCCAAACTACAGACTAATCTGGGATGTGGAACAGGTCTAGGGATCGAATCCTACTCAGCACACAGGGTCTATGTACAGGTATAGGGTAGGTCTAGGGATCGAATCTCACTCAGCACACGGGATCAATGTACAGGGTTGTGGCACAGGTATAGGGATCGAATCTCTGTGACTGCAATGTCAGGTCAACTGGGTGAAACCGTTTCATAATCCAAACCAAAAACGAAGAAAAAAAAAGCTGCAAACGAGTGCACACCAGCAACTTTGGCTGCAGCTGTGGAAGAGCTCTGATTACCCCCTGCCAAGTCTTTCAGGCAGCTGATCAGAGTGGGTTGTGCCATGTAGCAGGTGTTCACAGCATGGCAGGGGTCCATGACGTTGATGACAGCTGTAACAGTTCAGTGCCGTATAGACACAAGGAGTCGGATGAGGAGTCGGATGACGAGCAGCTAGCTGCTGGTGCTGCTGTGTATGGGATCCTTCCCCCTCCAGTGCAGACAGGTGACAGGGTGAGCATTGTTGCACCCTCCGGCGCGGTAAACAAGAACATACTTCAATTTGGTTGCGAGATCCTTAAGCAATGGTATGCTTCTATTACTTCCAAATACTTCGCTCGATACCTGCTCTCGCTCTCTCCCTCGCTTTTTTTCTTTCTGTCCGTCTGTCTGTCTGTCTGTCTGTCTGTCTGTCTGTCTGTCTGTCTCTCTCTCTCTCTCTCTCTCTCTCTCTCTCTCTCTCTTTTTATGTGTCTGTCTGTCTGTCTGCCTGTCTGTCCGTCTTTTTGTCC